CAAATTCAACCCCGCAGACCTTTGGCTCAAGCCGGTCGAGGTCTCAGCTTTTCTCAATCTTCCAACTAAAACAAGTTTGGATTCCGGCGGGGACTCCTGATCCAACAATGGGCTACAACACACGCACACGACCCAGCCCACAGTCCTTTCGTGGCTAATTGTCCTACGTGCTTAAAACCCCTGTCAGGCAAACTTAATTTGGACTTAATTAGATGAATAAATCGAAAAAAAGTGTGGCAGCATGTATTGCATACTCCCGACGTGTTTTTTAACAACTTGAAGTTCTGGTGGTTACTACCCTTCACTTCAAAAAATTCTCCCACTTTGCAAACCGCAACTTCAAGATTCAAAGATTTTCTGTTTTCCAGAACTGATCACAGTGGACGAAAGCTGTCAACGTAAAAATTTCGCACTGGGCTATACTTGTAACAGACTTAACTGGATTTTACCTGTCGGGTCTTTTGTTCTCGTAATTGAAGTATCACTGGCTAAGTACAAGAAAAATCCAGACGCGGGCAGACTGACTATTTTCGGCTAATGGATAAGGAATAAAGCATGTCAAACACCGGAGCAGTTGGCTTATTGTCCTGAGCGTTAGAACTCTTACAGGAGCCCATCTTCAGAGATCATGACAATAAACAAATTGATCCGGTGCTCGCCAAGCCTTCTCCCTTATCCATGCAAACAACCGAAACGCAAACATTCTCCTTCCTTTTAGGCCAACTCTGTATGCGTCTGTTTCAGCTGTTCTCGGATGACAAGCTGTAAAGGCTATGTGTTAAAACAGGGAGTCCCAATGTTTTACAGTTTGTTTACCCTGCGTAATCCCGGTTGTCTATGATTTCCCCATCTACAGGCCATCGTAAGTAATAATCATTTTCTTTTTAAAGTTACAGGACTTGTCACTTTTGGAGGAAGTGATCAGGATGGCCCTGGAGATCTTTAATGCCATTCTTACCCACTCTCTGACGTCGAACACTCACCTCATCTACGCACTGCTCTACCAGCGCGAATACCTGACCCCTTTGCACAGTCACCCCGCTTTCCAGGTGAGTGCACCAACCTCCCCCCTTTCCTCTCATCTCTTTTATCCGCCTGACTTCAGGCGTAACCCAGCATCGGACTCCACATGACAGTTCGACCGTCGCTGTCGACGATGTCCACCAGACGCTTCAACAGGTTGAAGCAACGCGGTGGGGTTATAGTGAAAGTAGACTTGCGGAGAATCTACCCCACCCTCTCACCACTCCCATACCGGGATAGGGTGCCAAGAGAAAAGTCAAGAAGACCGCAGATGAGGGAGGGCGCAGGGGGCTGGCGCGACCAAAACTCAACAGGTGTACCAATAGCACACCTCTCTAGGTAGTCTTCCGTCTGGGAGCGCCCTTAAGGGCACATTAAGAAGGAGTCATTGAGCGTGACTCTTAGCCCGCAATAAGCCACTCCACACAAAGCACACACCAGCTGACTTCGGTGTCCAAGTTATCGTGTTATTTGGCTACCCTCCAAGTCCCGACTTTTAGTTTAACGTGATAGTTTCAAGCGCATCAGATTGTCTATAGTGAGGAAGGAATGCTCTGAGGGTCGACCTCACTCTCTCCCTCACCGCTAGCAAAAGGCAATTGCCTAGCTGATCGGTCGCCTGAGGTGGGATGCATACACACATTGGCCTCACCGAACGCAGTCTGACATGGTTTTGTTTTTAACTTGGATACGGTCGATTCCCTATCCCATAAAATATAACCGAAATCCCTAAATTTTTTTGCGATTCGAACAGATGACTCAAATAGGATTAAAATATTGATTATCGTGCTGCCTGATCTCAAGGTATTCCAGCTACTTCAACATGCCGATTGTTCTTTGCCAGCGCCTGCAAAAAGCATGCCCTGTAAAAAATGGATGCACAAGTCGTATTCATTTTCCCATTGCTTTTCAGTGCTCTTAAAAATTCAAATATATTTCATAGAAAACACCTCCAAAAATATCCTTTCTGTATACGCGTTGGATATACTTGGAGGAAGAGTATCAAGGTTTTCTTAAATTTCCCAATTACGAGATTTTTCAAGACTGTGACATGTTTAGCCGTCAGTTTCTTAATGTTGCCTATAAAGTATACACCACGATCCACGTCCGTTGCCAAATGTTATGAGAACTATGTGATGTCTTCTTCTTAGTGTAGAGAAACGGGTGATTTTCCTAAGACTGAATGCACTCATTGTGTTGTTTAAAATCCTTGAATTCAAGGATACCGAACAGTTTTGACAAGTCAAACAGTTATTTGGAGACCAAAGTATATATTTTCTTCAAGTTTACATTTTGAAGACATTATTTTCTGCGTAGCGAAAGGCCATTTTGTGCATGTTTTTTTTAAGACTGATATACGTTCGTACCTATATGGGCACTGCTTATGCAATTTGTTCGAATTAAAAACCCATTTCAGAATTTCCGTTGACAAATCAGACAATAGAAGGTCTACTGTAGCTCGGCGATGCGCACGTAGAAACTTCTGTTACTTTAATTGTGGTTAACTGAATGAATGTACCGCCATTGCCACAACCTCTGGCTAAGTCTCTTCTAGCCTAACATGGGGTAATAAAGCATTTTCAATAGCTTTATTCCGCACGCAGAAGAGCTAGTAGGTGATCAGAGTAAAGCATGCTCAGGCGTGAAGCCTCCACATCTGTCTTAGAAGCGTTTACTTGAAATAGAGCCAGCGGTAAAAAATGTTTGATAAAGCTAGGTGACGTTAGGATGCAGCTCTGAGTTGTGTTTTGTGAAATCGCTACTACGCTTAGTGGTGGCTTCTCAGTAGGCTTCTTGAGCATTTACGTGTACAGCCTCCAATTCTTGTAAAGTACTTCGTATAAGGAAGGGTAAGTTCCGTAGTTTATTGAGTGAATATCTAACAAGACCTCTGTCCAATTAATCGCGACAGCAGTGTCATCATTGTTTCTTTAAATTTTTTACCCTTGGCGTTATTAAATTTACAATTTCAAAAAAGAACGGGCACATTTTACAGTAGATGTGCTATTTGGTAAAACGTTAACTTAAGTCCCTAAATATTTTCGAATCGATGTGTCACTTAAATTTTAGGATTAATTATAACGCAACATAATTAACACTTCTAAATACTGGCTTTTGAACAAGCTTCTTTATGAACTGCAAAAAAGGAGGTCTATAAAATGAGCTACTCGGGTAATCTACCTTTTATCATTGATTGTCGATGCCCATATAAAAATATCGGTTGCTTATATAGGAAATGTGCTTGAAACTATTAACTTTTTACAGTTACTTGGGAGCAACTCACGTCTTCAAATTTTGGACCTATCGGAGTGTACTTTTCGGCTTCCAACCTTTTTTTAATTATTAAGTTGGTTTGGCAGATTTGCTTAATTTGAGTTGAGTTAATTGTGTGGTTTTCTCTAGACTGTTAAGTGTCCATTCATAAAGCATCCTATTTTTCCATTTACTAATGCTGGTCGTGAAGTATAGTACATGGAGCTAATAATTTGCAAATTATATGACCGTTAAATGACGTCTTGTCAATAAGGTTTGTAGTTTTGATGTTGCAAAAGCAGATGTAACAATAGTTTGGGTTCAAAATTATTCTGTAACTAGCGCGGAAGCCCGGCTTCGCCTTGGGCTTCCTTACATGTTGTTG